CGGCACGCGTGACGAAGCGAGAACCGCCATGCCTCCCTCTGTTTCCGGGAAGACGCGCACGCACATGCGCGGCCAAACACCAACTGTCTCCAGAACCGCGCGTATCCGCGCCGACACAGCTGTCGCTCGGATCAGCGGGATGGAAGGGCTGCGGAACGCCCGCAGGTCCATCCACGCAGGGAGTGAGAGCCACAAGCCTGGAGCCTGGAGGAGGCAGAAGGACATGAGACTCGTCCGCAACCTGTTGTCTCGGGAGTGGCAACAGTTGGCACTTGTGCGAGAGCGCGCTCACCGCTCTCTCCGAATATAAACGGACGGACGCGCTCGAGCCGACGACCGAGCGATCGCAGCCGTCCGACGGTGCCACTCCCTGAGGGGCCGCGCCTACTGGTAGGGAAACGAACTCTATACACCGACGCTTTTCCCGACCCTGCGCTGAAATTCGCACAGGAACGTGGATCCTGGTGTATGCGGGATCCTGGTGTATACATGTTTCGTTTCCCTTGGAAAACGGGTTAAAAAGTATACACCACACCACCCCGACGTCGTCCCTGACCCTGAAAAAGCCGTGGGATTGAAAAACAACCCGCCACTGGTAATGTATATGTTCCAATTTGCGAACTGGGCCCGCTCCGGAAACGCAGGACCCGGCATAAAGCCGAGGTGTGTGAGGTGGGGGGGCAACATGGAAGTCCGCCCACTCCGCGCACGCGTCTTGGAGCCGCCAGCAAGCCACTGCCGCCACACTAAGAGAGAGAAGCGGCCCCGAAGAGGCTCACGGAAGCTTTTGGTGGGCTTGAGGCGGAGAGTTCCGATCGAACGACTCGCAGCACCCTCGCAAGCACCGCGCGTCCAGGGGATCCCCAGACAACAGCCCCCAAATCATCAGAGCACCATCGGTCGATCCAACGGTCGCGCCGCTCGAGATGAAGAACTTCCAGGTCCCAGAGCGTCACAGCAGTGCAGGAAATCATCTGCATTCTCAAGAGAATTACAATTGAGCACACGGTTGCACAGCTTGTCTGTACCATCGAGAGGTCGGCCACGCATTAAATAGGGTCTTTGGTACACCTGTCAGCACGAAAGGAGGGAGATGCTGGGAGAAGGAGTTGAGGGTAAACGAGATAGCGGCAGTCTCAGCAAGTGGTCCTCACTGTGGGTAAGGTCGAATAAGAGGCTCTCGCGTGTAGAAGATCCTGATAAATTACTGCAGGGCGGATGCCAGCGATAGCGTTGGACAGTTTACTAAGCATTTTATGGGGAGGATGATCCAGATCAGTGGACGGGTGCGAACTCTAGCACTGGTACCCGAACATCGTGTTCTCAAGAGCCGCGTTTCTTGCTGGAGCGGACGGCGACGACGTACAATGACTGCCTCATCAATTTAACGTAGTTGCGTTAGCCACTCTGACATATCATGGAACTTCGAACTAAGATGCGCAGATCGTCACAAGGCAGCAGAATAAGAAACGCGGAGATCAGCACATTGAATTGGCAGACCGAGCTGCCACAGGCGCGTGCACACAATGGGCGGAAAGGCATATCTCGGAGCTCGTGCGAGCAACTGGTGGTACTCCCTCTCGGCCGCGACAACACTAGGTGATATCGGAAGGAACTGGCTGGCATGGCTTGTGACGGAGCGACATGCATGTTGTACGCCGCTATGTTCTCGACGAGATTATTGCTCATCTCCCGAATCTCGTGGGTCTTCAGGAACATCTTCGAGACGGCTGGTGGTACTCCCTCCCGGCCGCGACAACGCTAGGTAATATCTGAAGGAACTGGCTGACATGGCATGAGACAGGGGACACATACATGTTGTACGCTGTTATGTTCTCAACGTGAAGTTTGCTGATCTCCCGAACCTGGTGGGTCCTCAGGAACATCTTCGAGACGGGGCCCTCACAGGACAGAATGGGGCCACGACGGCCAACCCGGTCACCAAGATACTCCGCCACATCACCGATCTTGAAATTGCCAGCGCGGATCCCCTGGGCCTTTGAAGTTCTGAACGACCCAGTCCCTGGGGGCGCAGCCCAATAAGATTAACACGCACTGGTCCAGATTCAGCACCAGACCGCATTTCGGGGCTGACTCCACCAGCACCCTGGCGACAAGGGGGAGAGTCGCGTAAAGGTCCTTCGCCACAATCGCGAGGTCGTCCGCGATTGTGACGACGACGAAGACGACGACGCAGACGACGAAGATGAGGACGAGGGGAAGGCGGACAGGGAGGGAGGCGGGAGTGCGGGTACCCTGGGGGACGCGGGCCAGGTCCGATGCGCGCCACCGAGCACAGGAACAGGCGACGAGCGAGAACAGGGGGGCAAACAGCTAGAGTTGCGTCCTGAACTCCTCGAAAACGACGGCTCCTATCGAGACGCGTCTCCTCTGAACTCTTTCCTCCGCCCTCCAAGTTCATTCCCTTCCCAACCCGCTCTCGAGTTAGCGCGTGACAGGGAGGGAGGCTGGAGGAGCATGAGGAACTGAAGACCCTGGGCAAGAGTGACCTTTGATGCGCGGTTTCTCGGGTGCCGCGGGGGGGCCCAAACACCAGCGCCCAGGACGCCACTGCCGCCTCGCGTTCGGCGATCGGGGGCCCCCGTGTGCGCGCACCACAGGTCACTCCGGCGAAAGGCCACTCTCACGTGTAGACGCCATGAGTGGGGGATGGCTTTGTGGGCCCCGGAGACGGCAGGGCCGTTTCTTCACCGCTTCCAGAAAAAAATGCCCCTTGAAAATGGAAATGGCAAAGAAACGTTGTGGGCCCCGGAGACGGCAGGGCCGTTTTTTCACCGTTTCCAAAAAAAATGTCCCTTGAAAATGGAAACGGAAAAAAAACGGCGACCAGAAACCGCAAAAAAGCGGCTCCAAGATTGGAACCGGAGCTGGAACCGGTCAAAAAGCGGCGACGGAACCGGTAAAAAAACGGCGTCGGAACCGGTAAAAAAGCGGCTAAACGGAGCCGGTAAAAGAACGGCCCTGTCGTTTCCAGGGCCCACTAAGTTCACCCGACAACAAGAGTCCGGACGGTCCGGACAACAAGAGGAACGGACGCCCCATGTCACAGGCCCATGTCGGACGTCTGGGCCTGCCAGCTTCCCGGGGCCTGGCTCCAGGACTCCCAGAGCCAGATCTCCTCGCGCGGTGGGGAAGTCACGACTGGAGGCCTCTCGTTTTTGTTCGGACTTGGGGTAAGCCGGGCACGCGCCTGGGCGTCACCCGGCAGCAGGAGAAACGGCACGGCACGGCACGGCACGCCTGTGCGGGCATGCGCCCGGGCCCCTTCGGGGCGAGGCGGGCGAGGCCGTGGCCTCGCGCGAGAGGAGCTGCGCGCGCCGGGCGCCTGCTCGTGGAGACGCGTGCTGCACGCAAGGGAGGAGGAGGAGGAGGAGGAGGAGGAGGAGGAGGAGGAGGAGGAGGAGGAGGGAAATGGCAAGGGACAGGGAAAGGGAAAAAGACAAGGGAAGGGACAGGGAAAGGGACAGGGAAAGGGAAACGGAAAGGGACAGGGAAAGGGAAAGGGACTCGGAAGTCGGGCAAAGGCTGCTAAAAATCCGTGGCTGCTAAAATCGACCTCCAGGAAATTGTCTGCGTCCGTCCGGGAAGAAGCCCGTTGACTGTTTCGCGTGCCGCGCATATCATTCCGGGAAGTTGTTTTCTCCTTCCGGGAGGGCCGTTTTAGCAGCCACGGTTTTAGCAGCCTTCGCCCAGCTTTCGAGGGACAGGGAAAAGGAAAGAGGGAAAGCCGCAGATGAGCACGGTGCGAGGGCAGGGCCGCGCTGCGCGGGCACGCAGGGCCGCGCGGGCACCGCTCTCTGGCCAGGGACGCCGCACGGGCACGACGCGAGGCCACGCCGCGCGGGCCCGGCGGAGCCCACGTCGGCACCGCTGGCGCTCCGTTGGGCCACCACCCACCAGCCGCACGCCGCGCAGCGGCCGAGGGCACCGCAAGACAGCAGCGCCCACACAGCTCGCCGGAGGCGCCTAGTCGTCGTCGTCGTCGTCGTCGTCGTCGTCGTCGTCGTCGTCGTCGTCGTCGTCGTCGTCGTCGTCGTCGTCGTCGTCGTCGTCGTCGTCGTCGTCGTCGTCGTCGTCGTCGTGGTCGTCGTCGTCGTCGTCGTCGTCGTCGTCGTCGTCGTCGTCGTCGCCGCAGCCGTCGTCGTCGTAGCCAGCGCGCACGGCGCGCTGGTGGCGCGGAGGAGCTGCGAGCGCCGCCAGCCGTGCGGACAAGCGGCCAAGGGCAGGGGGCCAAGGGCAGGTCGCGTGTGGGATAACGGGGCCTTCGCAAGCGGAAGGGTAAGAAGGATGCCGAGGACAGAGAGGGGCCTCCTCCTCCTCCTCCTCCTCCTCCTCCTCCTCCTCCTCCAGCTCCTCCTCCTCCTCCTCCTCCTCCTCCTCCCTCCTCCTCCCCTCCTCCTCCTCCTCCTCCTCCTCCTCCTCCTCCTCCTCCTCCTCCCTCCTCTCCTCCTCCTCCTCCTCCTCCTTCCTCCCTCCTCTCCTCCTCCTCTCCTCCTCCCTCCCTCCCTCCCTCCCTCCCTCCTCCTCCCTCTCCTCCTCTCCTCCTTCCTCCTCCTCCTCCTCCCTCCCTCCCTCCTCCTCCCCTCCCTCCCGCCCTCCCTCCCGCCTCCCTCCCTCCCTCCCTCCCTGCCTCCCTCCTCCTCCTCCTCCTCCTCCTCCTCCTCCTCCTCCTCCGGCCGAAGGCACAGCCGGGGGCAGATCGCAGCGGTCGCATGCACAGGCGCCCGCAGGCAGGGGGGAAAGGGAGAGGGAGCGGAATGGAGGAAAGGGAAAAGGGAAGGGGGGAGACAGCTGGGAGGGGGGAGGGGAAGGGTGAAGTGGACTGGGAGGTCGAGGGGGGGGGAGAGGGGGGCGGAAGAGGGCAAAGGGGAGAGGACCAGTGCGAGGGCGAGATGGACGACGAGAGGGAGGTAGAATGCGGGCGGTGTGGGCCTGCTTGTTCGCCCCCTGGCTCGCCGCGTAGGCGGTAATGCCCTTGATCATCTTTGTGACCGGGCCGAAGAGGTTGAGAACATTGAGAATATTGAGGCCCGTCGAGGCGGCGTCATGCGAGCTGGAGAGGGGGCAGGGCGGCCCATTGTCGTCCTTCTCCTCCTCCCCGCCCTCCTTCTCCCGCTGCTTCTTCATCTCCCCCCGCCCTCCAGGGGCCCAATTGAAGAAAACCCTACCCTAGCCTCTGTTTTTTTCCCGTGGCGCCGAATCTGAAGCCTCCCCACTCAGAAATAACCCCCAAGACTTACGTGGCGCCCCAGAAGCTCCGGAAAGAGTGAATAACGTCGAGAAACCTTCCTCCTCCTTCTCCTCCTTCTCTTCCTCTTCCTCCTCCTCATCCTCCTCCTCCTTGTCATCTTCCTCCTCCTCCTCCTCCTCCTCCTCCTCCTCCTCCTCCTCCTGCTCATCCTCCTCCTGCTCCTCCTCCTCCTCCCTCCTCCTCACCCTCCTCCTCCTCGTCCTCGTCCTCGTGATCTTCCTCCTCTTCCTCCTCCCAATATTATAATACCGAACCATTATTGTCTGATCATTGGCATTCGTATGTTTATTCTTCGCATTCGCATTTTCATTAGTATTTCATTAGTAGTATATGTATCAGCCTTCTTGGAATGAATCGTATTACTCAAGTTATTCGTATTACTAGTACTGCTAGCATTAGTAATACGACAAGCACTACTAATATCATTAGCAGTGTTAGTAGTAGTAGTAGTAGTAGTCGTCGTCGTCGTCGTCGTCGTCGTCGTCGTCGTCGTCGTCGTCGTCGTCGTCGTCGTCGTCGTCGTCGTAGTAGTAGTAGTAGTAGTAGTAGTAGTAGTCGTAGTAGTAGTCGTAGTAGTAGTCGTAGTAGTAGTAGTAGTAGTAGTAGTAGTAGTAGCAGTAGTAGTAGTCGTAGTAGTCGTAGTACGAGTAATAATATTGTTATTTGTATCAGCATTCGCATTCGCATTCGCAGTCGCAGTCGCATTCGCAGTCGCATTCGTATCAGTATTAGTTTGAGTATTAGCATTGAAAAGTATTATGAGTGCTACATTCGAAATAGTACTAGTATGTATGTTCATAATAGTACGAGTGTGCGTGTTAGGAATAAGATTATGAGTATGAATATTGTCAATAGTCCAACTCTTTCTATTAGTACTACTAGTGTTGGTACCAATATTAAGATTATTCGCAGCAGCATTCATTTTATCCTTCGGCTTCTCGATATTACTAGTCTTATCGTTCGTAGTATTCGTATGTTGTTTTCGTCTTCCGAATATATGTATTATTATTCCTATTATTCCTCCTCCTCCTCCTCCCCCTCCTCATCATCATCCCCTTCCGACCCTCGATCCCCCGATCCCCGAACCTTCCCCCTCCCCCCTCCCTTCCTCCATTCCTCCGTGCGGCGAGCGCTGTGTCGTGGGAGAGATGGGACCCATAAGGAGGCCTCCTCCACCGCACGGAGCGCATTTTATTATTCGCGGCCATTACGGGCGTTATGGGGGGCAGGGGGGAAGGGGACAGGAGGGGGCATTACGTAGCGCCCCCCCCGCCAGACTGTGGTGCCGGACGCACTGCGGCAGTACCGGGGACGCACTGAGGGGGGAGAGTTACGCTATGGAGGGGGGATGGGGGAGGCATAGCGCGCGTTATGGCCCAGGGGGCATTGTTTTGCTATCATGCGTTATTCTTCTTATTCGCACACGCACACACACACACACAAAGAAAAGGAGGGGAAGGAGGGGGGAGAGGGAGGGGCGGACGGACCTGGGCCTCCACTCATCGCGACGGGGGTCGGGAGGCTCTTGCCGCAGGTTTCGCCCTCCTGGGGTCCCTGCCGGGCCAACGGACCGTCGGAAAACAACCCAGGAAGAAGGAACCGACACGTTCGCGACGGGAGTCGGGAGGCTCTTGTCGCAAGTTTCGCCCTCCTGGGGTCCTTGCCGGGCCAACGGACCGTCGGAAAACAACCCAGGAAGAAGAAACCGCCACGGGATGGGATGAGGGTATGGTACCTGTGGGGGGCCCACTCACGAGCCGACCGCGACAACGGGCCAGGGGGAAGGAGGAGAGAGGGACGGAGGAGGAGAGAAGAGGGGACGTGGAGGAGGGAGAGGAGGAGGAGGAGGAGGAGGAGGAGGAGGAGGAGGAGGAGGAGGAGGAGGAGGAGGAGCGCACGTCCCATGGGAGTGCCGTCAGGTTACCGACGAACGAGAGCCGCATGCCGTATTGAAAGGTGGTGGTCGTAGCTGCCGAGCTGCGATGGGGTTACTGCAAGCTCGGCGCGGACCTGATGGAAGATAGAGTACGCTAAACTGACGAGGTCGTGGGCAGTCTCGATCGTGAGATCGGTGCCGCCATATTCCTCCTCCGTCCCGAGGCCGAGCCACAGGACGGGGGGGACGGTAGGGATATGCAAGCGGGGCAAGGCAATGAGGTGAAGCAAGCGGGGGCAGGAGAGGTAGTGGAGGAACGAGTCGGGGTGACCAGGGCAGCCAAACCTGCAGGGCAATGGCATGAGGATCTGAACCCTGTGGCTGGTGATCCACCCTCTGGCGAGGGTTTTAAGGTGGGACCACACCGTGTGCGGCTGAGAACGTGACAAGACTTGGCGAAGTGCGAGCCATCTTGTCTCCACATCGGCAAGAGGCAGGGGTTCGGGAGGGAACCACGTCTTAAGCCTCCGGAAGATCAGCTCATGGAATCGATCGGGAAATTCTGATCGCATGAGCTGGGAGATGAAGGCGCCTTGAGGTCCCTGCCCCCCTCGCCCACGACGCTGACGCCCACGGCCCCGACCACCCCTTCCTCTAGCGCCTCTATCTGGCCGCCGCGCGGCGGCTGACAGAATACCGAGCTGCCGGAGCCTGTCCTCACCAGGCAAGGGGGGCCCCTGTGGATCAGCAGCAGCATCGATGGCTGCTTGGATCCGAGCCGCTGGAAATGGGAGGCCGCGGCAGCCTTGGGAGAATTGCCGATAGTATTGTAGCACGCCTCGCTCCTGCATCCAGCAGGGTGCAGAGAGGAGACCTTTGCGCACACGCATGTGCAGACCGTGAACGTCCACCCCCTCCCACCACCAGCCAAAGTCCCGCCCACAGGTTTTCAATGTGTGCGTCGACGCCCGCCAGGCACAGGCGAGAGAATACACTTGAACACTCGTGGGGGATGCCGATCGCATCCAATTGCGCGAGGAGGAAGAGGAGGAGGAGGAGCAGGAGGAAGAGGAGGAACAGGACGAGGAGGAGGAGGAGGAGGAGGAGGAGGAAGAGGAGGAAGAGGAGGAAGAGAAGAGGGGATGCAGGGAGAGCGGCCTCGCTGCCCGCCGCCCGCCTCGGCAAAAGAGGCATGTGCAGAGCACACGTGCTTTCCTCGGCGGCCGCGCGCACGGCGCACGCAGCGGCGGCAGCCGCCGGCGATTGCGAGAGGGAGGCCTGAGCCTCCCTCCTCCCTCCTCCCTCCTCCCTCCTCCCTCCTCCCTCCTCCCTCCTCCCTCCTCGAAACGAAGGGGAGAGACGGGAGCCCGGAGAGCGGCCTCTGGGGCGGCAGGGAGAGCGGCGCCGAGAGAGACGGGCGACGAGAGAGCGAGAGAGGGAGGGAGGGAGGGAGGGAGGGAGGAAGGGAGAGAGAGAGAGAGAGAAGAAAAAAAGAAAATAAAAAAAAACAAAAACAAAAAACAAAAAAAAAAAAAAAAACAAAAAAAAAAAAAAAAAAAAAAAACGAGAGAGAACGAGAGAGGGAGAGAGGGAGAGAGAGAGAGAGAGAGGGAGAACGAGAGAGACAACGACGCCGAGAGAGAACAAGAGAGAGAGAGAGAGAGATGCAGCATCGAAGAGCGAGGCGGGAGCGAAAGGGGCGGGCCGGCACGAGGAGGCAGCGGAGGCGGGCGAGGGCGAGCCGGGGCGGGCAGGGAGGGGGGAGGGCACGGGAGGGGCGGAGGCGGAAAGGGAAGGGACAGGGAAGCGGGAACCACGGGAGAAGGCAGCGAGAGAAGGACGGGGACAAGGATGCGTCACACGCACACACGCACACACCGAATACCGAATGCATCGCACCAGGGAGGAGTTCCGCGCCGCTGGGCGGACACGAGCGCCCTTGCCAGGAGGACGCCCACAAAGAGCCTGCACCGATCCTGGCCAGGCCAACGTTTGGCGCAGGATCGGTGCGTCTCCCTGGCCTACCCAGGAGCGCATGGGTGCACACCAACCTCTCCCAGGATCTATGCGGGTGTCAATTTGACTGTCTTGAAGCTGTCCACTCCACTGCTCGCGCAAACATCCCACCCACCCACCCGCAACTTAGTTTGCAAAGTCTCTTAAGACCGTGACGGTGGGTACCAAATGGCACTTGGCAACGACAGCGACGCTGACGACGACAGCGACAACGACGACAACGACGCCGCCGACAACGACTACGACGACACCGACGACGACTCCAACGACTTCGACGACGCCGACAACGACGACGACGACGACGACGACGACGACGACGACGACGACCGACGACGACGACACCGACGACGACGACGACCGACGACGCCGACGCCGACGACGCCGACGACGACGATGACAACGACGACGACGATGACGAACCGGACGACGACGACGACAACGACGACACCGACGCAACGACGACGTCAACGCGACGACGACGACGACGACGCGACGCCGACGCCGACGACGATGACGGGGCGACGTCGACGACGACGACGCGACGACGACGACGCCGACGCGACGACGACGAAGACGACGACGACGCGACAACGACGACGACGACGAGGGAGGAGGAGACGACGACGGCGACAACGACGACAACGACGACAACGACGAGGAGGGAGGACGGCGACGACGCGAACGACGAAGAAGGAGGAAGGACGGCGACGCCGACGACGACAACGACGAGGGAGGAGGGAAGACGACGACGACGACAACGACGGACGAAGACGACGACGAGGGAGGAGGAAGGACGACCACGGCGACAACGACGACGGAAACGACCACGACGCCAAAGAGGACGACAACGACGAACACGAGGAAAGACAGAGGACGACGTAGGCGACGACGACGACGACGACGCGGGAGGAGGGAGGACGGCGACGACGACAACGACGACGCAAGAGCACGCGCGCACGCTTTTGTTGAAAATCCTTGTTGCGAAATCTTGTGTTCTTGTAGGTTTTTTGGGCACACGATGTTGAAATCCTTCCGAAGCCGATGGGTTTTGAAGGATTTCGGCATACGCGCGCGACGACGCGCGCGTCTGCACTTCGTCCCATTTTTTGCAGAGGATGCTCGCGACGGCACACGCGCAAGGGCGTTCGACAGATTTCGACATGCGCGCGCGAAGCCCGTTTGGTAGCATTTTGTGAAAATCTTATCTCTTAAGATTTCACAAGAGGTCGCGCGTAAGCTTTTTTAGCAAATCAGTGTTGCGAAACCCCGTGTGTTTGTATGTGTTTTGGAAACTCGATTGCGAAATCCTTCCGACACCGAAGGTTTTTGGAGAATTTCGGCCTGCGCGCGACGGCGCGCTCGTGTGCACTTCGTCCCATGTTTTGCAAGGGATTCGCGAAAAAGTGCTATGTTAGAACAAAAGATGTCCCCGCGAATTGTTTTTTACCAGGGAACCTCAGGGGGGTCGATACCGGCCCCCCAGGGATAGTGTAAATTCATATTTACGATGGACATGTGGTCAGAATCACATATGATTTACATACCCGAAAGGGGGACCGATAACGCCAGGGGGGGGAGTCTATTCTCTTTTTAGAAAGGAGAATAGAAGTGAAAACCCAGACCTCCGACGGAGGCATTTCTCACTCCGCGGACCCCGGAAAAGGATCTCAAGCCCCTGGCCCGGGAGCAAATTGCCGTCCTGGGACAACTGTTGATGGCCCCGGGGCCCGCAATTCGGCCACCTGCGGGGGCACGCTGGGAGCAGAAAACTCCCAATCCGCTGGGGGCCTCCGTCCTGATGTGTCACTTCGTTTTCAGGTGGACGTACACCACCGTGATGTCGTCCACGACGGCGCCGCCCTCCTTGCAGCGGCTGGCAAGGCTCTGTCGCGGGCCGCGGCAGTGGGGGGGAGCGCACCAGACGAAGGAGTGCGCCCCGACACCCCGTGGCGGCTCCCAGACCGCAGGGCGTCTTGAGACAAACAGGCAACAACAGAAAGACACAGACCAGCAACAAAACATGTTACCCTCATGCACCATGCTTCAACATGCCACATGCACCCATCATGATGATGCCAACCCATCTTGGGAAAACTCAATGACAAGGAGGGCCGATATTCTTGAGTCGGGCGTGTCCCCCTACAGGTGGGTTTTCGACGAAAAAATACTTAACAAAATGGTCGAACATATTCAGAAAATAATCCCCAGAGTATTTCTTGACTATTTTTGACTACTCCCCCTGTATAGGCACAGGCCCGACTTAACGATGTTCCCACGCCACGTCTCCCGCCCCAGGAGGTCGAGCCGACGCCGCTCCCGAGGGCACACTCCCACTCTCGGTGCGACGATGGGGGGCGGCGTGGACTCAAAACACGACAGATTCGAGCCCCAGGAGAGGGGCAGCACGTGAAAGACTTGGGACTCGAGCCCTGGTCGAAGGGAAACCCACCAACCCCTGAGCGCGTGAGTGGCTTAGAGTGCTTCCTCTTCCAACCCCCTTCTTCTCCTTCGGGGAGGGGCTTACCTCCCCCTACGTCTGGACAGAGCCTTCCGCAAGGGGTTGGAGCGTCCAAGATGGCCTCGGCGAGAAGAACAAAATCATGTACTGCACTAAGGGTTGGGACACCTGTGGGCCTCCTGGGGGACCCTAATTAAAGAGTCCCCCTCCTCTGATCGATGTCCTCCAGCATGGCCCCAAGATGACCGCCCGAGGCTCCCAAGGGTGCCCCAAGACGGCACCGAGAGGTGCCCGGGAGGCCCCAAGAGGCCCGCAAGAGGCTCCCAAGAGACACCCAAGATGCCCCCCAGAGGCATCCAAGACGCCCCAAGAGGCCTTGGCGAGAAGACCGAAATCATTGATTGTACAATGTGTTGGCCAAGAGGCCTTGGCGAGAAGACCGAAATCATTGATTGTACAATGTGTTGGCCACCTTTGGCCTCCTGGGGGAGGGGCCTGCTGTACTACGGCCCCTCCTTTTTGCGCCTCCAAGATATGGCCCAAAGATAACCCCCGAGGCTCCCAAGGGCGCCCGAAGACGACCCCGAGAGGTGCCCAGGAGGCCGAGATGCCCCCAAGAGGCTCCCAAGAGACCCCCAAGAGGCGCCAAGGGGCCCCCCAGAGGCACCCAAGACGCCCCACCAAAAGACCCCCTGGACTGCCAAGAGATCCCGAGACACTCCAAGACGCTCCCGGAAGAGATCCGAAGAGACTCTGAGAAGCATCCAAAAGGAATCTGGCCTTTCTGCTCGCCCTCCCTCCCTCCCTCCCTCCCTCCCTCCCTCCTCCTCCTCCTCCTGCTCCTCCTTCTCCTCCTCCTCTTCCTCCTCCTCCTCCTCCCCTCCTCCTCCTCCTCCTCCCCTCCTCCTCATCATCATCATCAATCATCAATCATCATCATCATCATCATCATCATTATCCAATCATCACATCTCATCATCAGCATCATCATCATCATCATCATCATCATCATCATCATCATCACATCATCATCATCATCATCATCATCATCATCATCATCATCATCATCATCATCACATCATCATCATCATCATCATCATCATCATCATCACATCCGCCTATCCCTCCTTCCCTCCCTCCTCCCGCTCCCCGCTTCCCCTTTCCCTCCTCCTCCTCCTCCTCCTCCTCCTCCCCTCCTCCTCCTTCTCCTCCTCCTCCTCCTCCTCCTCCACTTCCCTCCCCTCTCCTCCTCCTCCTCCTCCTCCTCCTTCCCTCCTCCTCCTCCTCCTCCTCCTCCTCCCTCCCCTCCCCTCCTCCCTCCCTCCCTCCCTCCCTCCCCCCCATCCTTCCCACGACCAAGGAAGAATCACGTCGATTATCTGAGCAAGCAGCGGTCTACGCAGGACCTTAAAGGGCCCTCTGAATGTGAAGGGTTTGGGTGCATAGTATCCTCACCTTGGTGGCTGCCGCTGCTGCCACCGTCGACTCCCATCTTCATCCTAATGGTTCTCGCCCTCGTCTCACCGTGGCTCCGATCAGCTGCAATAATGCCGGGAAGAAATAGCGGGGGAGGAGGAGGAGGAGGAGGAGCAGGAGTCGAGCGTGCCGAAGGAGGAGGAGGAGGAGGAGAAGGAGGAGAAGAGGAATCTAGGCTCTTGGATGTTTGTGACACTGTTTGGCAGCCTCCAGAAGCCTCTGGGGACCTCCGGAGACCTGCGAGCACTCTCCGAGCGGGGCCGCCCGACAGGCACGAAGCCACGAAGAGCCTCCGCCCTGGCCCCGGAGCCTGCCGCGTCCCGTCGTCGCCTCTGCGGAAGCGCCCGCGCACAAAGCGGAGGCTTTGACCTCCCCCTCCTCCTCCTCCTCCTCCTCTTCCTCCTCCTCCTCCTCCTCCTCCTCCCTCCCTCCTCCCCCTCCTCCTCCTCCTCCTCGCTCCTCCTCCTCCTCCTCCTCCTCCTCCTCCTCCTCCTCCTCCTCCTCCTCCTTCTCCTCCTCCTCCTCCTCCTCCTCCTCCTCCTCCTCCTCCTCCTCCTCCCCTTCCCCCCTCCTCCTCCTCCTCCTCCTCTCCTCCTCCTCCTCCCTCCTCCTCCTCCTCTCCTCCTCCTCCTCCTCCTCCCCCTCCTCCCTCCTCGCCCTCCTACCTCCTCCCCTCCTCCTCGCTCCTCCTCCGCCTCCTCCGCTCCCTCCTCCTCCTCCTCCTCCTCCTCTCCTCCTCCTCCTCCTCCTCCTCCTCCCCCCCCCTCCTCCTCCTCCCTCCTCCGCCTCCTCCTCCTCCTCCTCATCCTCCTCCCCCCTCCTCCTCTCCTCCTCCTCCATCCTCCTCCTCCTACTCCTCCTCCACCTCCTCCTCCTCCTCCTCCTCCTCCTCCTCCTCTCCTCCTCCTCCTCCTCCTCCTCCGCCTCCTCCTCCTCCTCCTCCTCCTCTCCTCCTCCTCCTCCTCCTACTCCTGCCTTTTCCTCCTCCTCCTCCTCCTCCTCCTCCTCCTCCTCCTCCTCCTTCTCCTCCTTCCTTCCTTCCTTCATTCCTTCCTTCCTTCCTTCCTTCCACTCCGCTTGGCGCCACCCCCAGGTCGGGGCGCGCGCCCGGCCGGGCCGCGCGGCACGGGCCCTCAGAGGCCGGCGAGCTGCGCCCGCTTGCTGCCCTTCCCCGCGGCCGGGGCTTTTCGACTGGAGCCCGACGCCGAAGCGGGGGGCTCCGCACCTAGAGCCCCCAGGGAAGGGGTCGCCCGGTGGCCCCCGCAGGTGGGCGCTGGTGAAGCGCCACGCGGGCGCGACCCCCGGCAGCCCCGCTTTGGGCTTGGTCGCTGCCAGTGGGTACTCGGCCCGGAGAGGAAGGGTATGGGCCAGCGGGGACCAGGGCCAGGGTCAGGGGGCCCAGAGGCCGGACCAGGGGCACCTCGGACCGGGGGCCAGGTGGGCCCTCCCAAAGGGCGAACGCCAGCCAAGCAGCGGGGCCAGGGCCCAGGGAGAGGGGGACAGGGGAGGCAGGGACGAGTAGGACAGAGGACAAGAGGCCGGGGCACGCGCTCAGGAGGGACCCGGCCCAGGGGTCGGTGTACATACCCTTTCTCTCCGGCATGGTGCCTAGGGTGCCGCATGCAGCGCTGCCTCCAGGCGGCGCGCCTCCTGCGGCGACAGGCCGGCGGCCGCGCCCGCCCTGGGCCGGCGCCGGAGCACCGCAGCGGCACCGCCGCAGTTCCCAAGGAGGTGGACTGCGGTCTCCTGGGATTGGCCGCAGAAGCGGCATGCGGCCACGGCGCCGGCAGCGTCGCGCGCGAAGGCGCCCTGCAGGGTCAGGCGGGCCCACGCGCGGGCCTCCTGCAGCGTGGCCCCGGCTGCGCTGTGTTCCATCGCTGTGCAGCCCCCGCCGGCCACGCGGCTGAGCGCCTCCTGCTGCACCGGGCTGGCAAGCCAGGACGCCTCCTGGGCCTCCTCCTCCTCCTCCTCCTCCTCCTCCTCCTCCAACGGATGCCGATTTCCAAGGGAGCATGTTCATTGACGGGAGCTGTAGCAGACACATTGTTCCTGAGCTTCAACGTGCGGGGTGGGGAGTTGTGCAGCTGAAGGCAGGAGGCGAGGTGGAAGGCAGGCTGTTCGGACCCGTCCCGACCCCACTTACGGCCTCCCCCCAAGCTGGAGAATTCCATAGCTTAGCAATGGCATCTATTCAGCTTGTAGGTTCTAGTGATATTTAATCAGACTGCCTCAATGTAGTTAAGCAGAGCGAGCAGCCACATGAGCAGCAGCTTACCTATTTCAGGCCTTATGCTGGAATGATGCAATACTACCAACAAGGGTCCAAATGGGTGAATGGTGTGGTGAAGGTCAAAGCCCATCTGGACCCTAACGAAGCGGATTTAGATTTCTCAGAGCGGTGGCGGCGACTCGGGAATTCTGCTGCCGACGCCGCCGCTCGCGCTGGAGCTAACATGCACCCGTCCGGGTCCGAACAGGACGAAAAGGAGCTCCAGCGTAAAATTAAGATTTCCAAACAAGTATGTAATCTTGCTGCCACGCTTCTCCCACTCTGGCCGAAGCTCGACCTCTCTGAGGTCGAGCTTATCCGCCCCCCTCGTCGTGACCTCCCCGAGGCCCCACCCCCTCCTCCTGGTCACGAGTGGCAGAGACTGCGTGGGTTGTTCCTGTGTTTGAGTTGCAACAGAGTCCGTCGAGGAACGAGTGTGCCCCCACCTGGAGAATGTACCCAAGTGCATGGCCTGACCACCTCTTCCCTTCGCACTCTTAATCATAGTTGTGTTTCGCTCGTGTGCAGTGATGATGCGCTTCTCACTGTCTGTCTCAAGTGTAAATGCTACTCGAGCCATGGACAAATTCGAGGACTGTCCAAGAGCTGCGAGAGGCCTACCCGTCACACCCTAGACAATTGGAAGCTTATTGCGAGGGGCAAGCATCCGAAGCGTCTAGGGGTTACAGTTGAGACGGGGCCCTGGTCTCTCCTTTAACTCATCCTCGTAGCCGTCATTGTTAAACAATCCTCCTCCTCCTCCTTCTCCTCCTCCTCCTCCTCCTCCTCCTCCTCCTCCTCCTCCTCCTCCTCCTCCTCGTCCTCCTCCTCCTCCTCCTCCTCCTCCTCCTCCTCCTCCTCCTCCTCCTCCTCCTCCTCCTCCTCCTCCTCCTCCTCCTGCGCTTCCCCCTGCTCCTCCTCGCCCTTCGTCGAAGCAGGCTGGCTCTCCTCTCGGATCCAGCGGTCCCACGCCTCCTTCGCGAGCCTCTCGGCGGCCGCCATGGCCTCCGGCCGAGCGGGAGGGCGGGACGTGCGAGAGAACAGGAGGGGGAGTGGGAGGGGGAGAGGGACAGCAGACGGATGAGGAAGAGGAGGCGGATGAGGCGGAGGAGCAGGAGCAGAAGGAGGAGGGGGAGGCGGCAGAGAAGGAGGGGATGGATAGGGAGGGAGAGAACTGTTTGTTTCCTGTGGGTAGACTGTGTCATGCAACTGGCTTCCGTCCATTCGGCACACCGAAGACTGAGCGCTGGACTGGAGCACCGTCGAAGACGGGAGCGTTCAAGAACGACCCCCAAGCATCCCGCAATGACCGCCTCTCCCCACTGCTTCTCGGTCTCTGCCCCTCGGCACGCCGGCGATTGAGCGCTGGGCCGAGGCAATGGCGAAGACGGGGGGGGCGGGAGACGGGAGGGGGGGGGGTCAAGAGTACTCCCGAGTCTCCCGCAACGGGCGCCTCTCGCCACCACTGCCACCCCTCTCGCACCGCAGCGGCCGCCCTCGCGGCCAGCGGTGCAGCTGATGGTGTGGGGCTGGGCGCGGAGCAGGAACTCGGCAGTGCACTCCGTCGGCTCGAGCTGGCTCTGCTCCCGTGGGTCCTTGGCGTGCCCTGTGGCGCGGCCAGGGAGGACCTCGGCGCTGGGCCTCGTGATCCGCGCCGCCGTGGGCTGCAGGAGGATCGTCCTTCCTCCCGGCGGTGTATTGGGCGACGCTGGGCTTCAACTGCGCGCACTGCTCAAGCTCGCGTCCCGTCTCGTGGTTGATGACATCGGGCTCTGTGCCTTCGCGTCCTGCCTCCCGCTGCCGGCGTCGGGTTCCAGCTGCGTCTCCAGCTGCTCGCTGATGGGCACCCGAGCCTGCTGCCGTGGTACTGGTTCTGCCGATTCGTCCTTCTCGGCGGTGTAGTTGAAGACGTTGGGCTTCGACTACACGCGCTTCTCATATTTGGGCCCGGCTGCGCAGCTGATGACATTGGGCTCTGCCTGTACGTCTTCAGCCACCAGACGTGATCCCCAGCTGGTCGCTGCTGAGCGCGTGAACCTGTTGCCAGTGTGCTCATCCTTCGCACGCGTCTTGCACAGCGATGCAGCCGATGACACTGGGCCTCGACTGCATGCGATGCTCACACTGGCGCCCAGCCTCGCTGTCGACTTGAGGCTCTGACTTCGCCCCCGTCCCAGCGTCGTAGCCGATGTCGCTGGGCCCCGACTCCGCCTCCTGCCTGCCGCTGTCGGCGCCGGGCTCCGGAGGTGCCTCCAAGGTGCTCGCTGCCGGGCCCCGGTGCCTGCTGCCACTGCGCTCCGCCCTCACACGCGCCTTCCCCCGCGTCGCAACCGGTGCCTGGGCGCTCGGGATGCACGCCCCGCTCACGCTTCTGCGCCGAGCCTCGTGGCTGATGACCTTGGGCTCCGGCTTCGCGTCCTGCCTCTGGCCGCCGGCGACGGGCCGCAACGTTCTCTGTTCATTCGCCTCCCCCACGGCCAGGAGGACGCCGACCTGCTCGGCAGACCGATGGCAGCCGCACCGTGCCCGTGAGGTGGACCCCGAGCCGTGCCCGTGCCCGGCGACGGGCCGCAGCTGTGCCTCCACAGTGCTCGCCGATGGGCGCCAGCGCTTGCTGCTCGGTGCTAAAGCTCCTCGCACGCGTCTGCCCCAGTTTTGCAGGTGATGGCGCTGGGCTCCGACGGCACGCCCTTCACGCACTCGGGCCCGGCTACGTAGCCGATGGCATTGGGCGCAGCCTTCTCGCACGCGTCTGTCCCAGTTCTATAAGCGATGACGTTAGGCTTCGACGGCGCGCCCTTCGCACACACACTCGGGCCCAGCTGCACAGACGATGGCACTTGGCGCAGCCTTCTGGTCCTGCCGCTTCCCTGTCGCCTGAACTTGCGGCTGCAGGTGCCCAGCCTTCTAGTTGATAACGTTGGGCTCCGATTTCACGCCTGCCTCTGGCCGACGGCATTGGCCTCCTGCTGTGCCCCCAGCTGCTCGTTGACCTCGACAGTCCTCCCTGGCGAGGGAGGCCAAACTCCCCTTGAAGCTGGGGACGTCGGGCTGCCAAGTCGCCTCCCGATGTGCCTCTGCAGCTACCTGCTGCCGCTGCCCGAACCACGCACCCTCTTCCGCACTGGTCGCCGCTTTGCAGTGGGGGTCACGGGACGGGCCTGGATCTGCTTCACCCCCACCATCGCCCCCCGCTGGCGACGCCGTGGTCCAGCTCACCGCTGCCAGCGCCGTGGCTGAGGAAGTTGGGCCCGACGTCGACCGCGAGGTTCGCATGAGGCGTGGCCCAGTCGATGGCGTACGCGCCAATGTCGCCGAGCTTTTGGTGGCGACACTCTCCACAGATTCTCCCTGGCGGAGAGGGCGAAGCGCTCTGGCCGTGCACAGCCGCCCAGGAACTCCTCGCCGAGGATGCTGCCGTTGGCCTCCAACTGCGGCTGGTGGCGCTCGGCACACACTTCGCCTCCGGAGGGCGCGCGAGGCTGCCTTGGCTGATGGGGCGCACCTCCACGCCCATCCATACGCGCGGGGGGCTTCTCGAGCGCCTGCCGCGCCGCGCCGCGCCATGCGGGTCCCCGCCCCCGGCCTGACGACCCGACTGGCCCCGCCGCGCCCGCGCCCCTCGCGCGATCCGCAGGCAAGCACCCCGATCGCCGAAGACGGGGCTCGGCGCCCCTTCGGCAGCCCGAGGCAAATGGCCCAGAGCCAACAGGGCTCGAGCCAGCATGGCAGCGGGGAGGGAGAGGAGGAGGAGTCGACGTCGCCCGAGGGCGAGTCCTGGTGCCACCTACACCCGGAGCGCAAGCCGTGCGGCCCCAGTGGCCCGCGTGGCGGATTCGCATTGGTGGTGTGAAGAGAGAGGCACTGAATCTTGCGATTTGCGGTGAATGTAAAAAGCGAGTGCCATGGCCTCAGCAGCCTGGAGGCGAGAGCTCTCGCAATCCTCTGTGCCGTACTCCGCGGGACTCCCAAGGCCAAGCCAGAGCAAAGGATCCACAGGTAAGACGAGCCGCGACCAGCTGAGGGCGACGTGGCGCCGGAGCGGCATACACTGGAGGCAGTGCGATATTTCGTCTCGGCCCCCGCACCCCAAAAAAATGCAATCTCGGGCATGCGGCGAGACTTGCATTCTGCAGTTGGTGGTCCAGCCTCCTGAAAGCTTATTCGGAAGGGCCCATCTCCAGCTCGGCCGAACTTGCCGGAGACATGCGTTCAGTAGGGGCCGTCGTTCCGCTAGGCCGGGAGGGCGAGGGAACGACCAGGCATCGAGGCGGCGTCCGATAGTCCAGCAAAATCGGTCGGGATACAGCGCAACCGAAACCGCGGGGCCGATCACACGCTGTAGCCTCGGCTGGCGTCCCTCGTCAGCGGCCGCCCGCAGCTCGGCCCTGCCTGCCGTCCTCGTAGCCTGCCACACCCTGCGCGACAGGGGATGAGATACGCGGAACGACCCGTCGCGACGATGATGCACGACAGAGGGAGTGGAGACCAGGGAAGAGCGGGAACACTGGACGATAGCCCAGCAGCGGGCCGGCTCCAGCACGGCGCACACCACTCGCAACGGGCCCGCCGTAAGGCAGCGAGCGCCGGCGGGCCCCGGGCACGTGCTGCAGCCTGCTGGAGCGCTTCGCACGCTGGCGCCCAGTCAGCGACTGTGTGGGCACTCGTCCTCCAGGCCTCCTCCTCCTCCTCCTCCTCCTCCTCCTCCTCCTCCTCCTCCTCCTCCACCTCCTCCTCCTCCTCCTCCTCCTCCTCCTCGTCCTCCTCCTCCTCCTCCTCCTCCTCCTCCTCCTCCTCCTCCTCGGCGACGCTAAGTGCTGGCACCGACTTCGGAGCTGTTCCGAGCCACTGGCTAAGCGGGTGCACATCTTGGAGAGTGAAGGAATTCGGAGGCTGCGAAACAGCTTGTGGAGGTCCACCGCCTCTCTCGCGACCACTCGGGGCGACATTGGAAAAAACTGTGCCAGGCAACCTGGGGTGATAAGAGCGTACATGTTATACTGGCCTGAGAGAAGCTGCGAAGCAGCTCGTTCGAGATCGGCGGCGGGGCCGAACTGCACGCCAAGATATGTAGAGGCCCCTCGGATATCAAATTGCTGACACGCTGGGAGATGAGCGTCAAGCTAACAGTGGATGTGAGCAGCCATGAATGCTGTGCAGTCAGCCCAACGTGGCACTATGCATCGCTTGCTTCCCGCAACCTGAGCAAGGCTTGCTCGCGGATCTGCTCGAAATAAAACATGACGGAAGCAAGCGTGCGAAGCTGAGGGAGGACAGTGTCAACGTCATCGGCGCACCTGCATACATCTCCTGGGGTGTCCCTTTGGGCTGGGTTCTCTAGATAAAACATGAAGTGGAGCTCACCGTTGAATCTGCCGCAACCTCAGAGGCAAAAGTAGAGGGAGTGGACGATGTTCATATATCCTTGAGGGGTGCCATGGCGACGTAAAACCTCGAACAGCCAATGGTGTCCCACGGAGGGGAACGGAGGGAGAGGAGAAGGAGATGGAGCAGGAGGAGGACCGGAGTAAACTCACGATGCATCAACGATGCTGCAATGTACCCTCCCGTCCCAAGCCCCCTCCTGGCAAGGCACCACTAGCAATACTGCTCACTCAGCGACGCGCTCCCTTCAGAGACGAGCGTTCCATGTCCTCGCAATTCAAGCTGGAGCTCCTTTTGTTGAAGGAGCTGCCCACAACCCTCCGAGTTATATGGAATGCAATAGGGTGGGGTCACCAAGGTCAAGGACATGTCCAGCGGCAGCCTTGCTTTGAGAAGAAGAAGTCCTCCATACAGGCATGTTGGGCCCCTGGTTGTACAACGTAGAGAGGTCTCATAGCGAGAACCCCATTGTGAAAAAGTACCGCCCTCCATCCGTGTAGCTGTTGAGCTGTGCGACAATACGAGAGGAAAGTTCGAGGAAGTGCCAGGTAAGAACGCAACGTTGATAAGGAACCCCCTCCGTTTGTGTAGCTGCTGTTCTTGCTTTGAAGATATACGCG